CAAACTGTTGCAAAGAACATCATCTATAAAAAGTAAATTTATGTTTACAATGCAAAAATCCCTCACAGTTAATGTTGCCATTTCACTTTTCCCCAGTATGAGAAAAGAGAGGGTGAATGCCTCTTACCTGCCTGTGGGTTCAGCTCCACCAATGTTTTCTCTCAAGGCTGCTCATCTTTGAATAGACTGCAGAGCAATTCCTCGTTCTTCTAGGTGCACAGCCTGCACAGTGCTGTCTTCTGTATCAGAAGTTGTTCCATGCTGCAAGGAGCTCCTTCAGAGCTGTCACACAAGAAGCTGTTGTGCAGGACTGTGCAGATATATAGGTAAGGCTTTGGTGAACACCAAGCCAGGACCAGAGTTGCTTATCTTGCAGTGATCATAACTAGCAGGTCTTTAGAGTGCTCTCTGCCTGGGAAAACTGTCCTCTTGGTGGCCATCTCCGCAGCTTCTGCATGATGTTTGCACGCCAGTATGAACTATGCTTTTCCAGAAAATCTTGCTGCAGTCACATCTGAGCTTAATTAACATGCTCCACTGCCCACCTAATGAAACCCTTTGAGCAGTCTCTTCCAAGAGTTTTTGAGTGGAGTCACGAAGGAAGTGGAGTACAGAAGAAAAACAGAATGAAGTGCAAAACCCCCATGTGAACATAAGCCAGCCAATATGTCATCATATGAGGTGGGGGAAAGGAGGAGAGAGAAGTTAGAGCACACATGCCTAGGGACCTGCAGGATGATATAACAACACTATCAAAATCCAAGCTTAACTACCCAGGCATTAAATACATCCTAACTGCAGAGTAAATACATCAAAGCCTGAAACAAAGTGAAAGGGCTTTGCCACACATCCTAACCAGGGAAGTAAACCCCAACAAAGCACGTATGACATAAGGCTACCGTGAGAAGACTGAAACTGAGTTTGGGCTGATAACAAGACAAGAAACAAGGATGACGCCAAAGGTAGGCACACGGATACCCATCCATGTACTCTCTGCAACTCATTAAGCTGTTTAGTTCATAATTAAGCCCATCACCCACTTAACATCCCTGTCTTCCCCACAGCTCAGAAATATTTACCCTGCTGTATTTCACAGAAACTTTTAATAGAGTCCAGTATTTTTGTTAGATCTGCAATATTTTAATAAACAATCAAAATCAAACGATACCTATTAAAACACAATAAGAAATTAATTTTGTGAAGCCCTGATGTTGCTTTAACTTGTTACAGCTAGTTTGTCATCGATTCAAAAAAATTTTGGATAATGAGTATGTGATAAATCCATGTAAATCTGAGGTTTTGCTGTCAGTGAGCATGCAACAGACCAGCTCTAGGCAAAGGAGGACACGCATAAAATATACATCAGGTGCACATGTGCAGAAACACAATTATAAAGCCATGCATTCCTGGTTCTGCAAATGAGAACAACAGCTCCCTTACAGTTAAAAGCTCATTTCCACTTCAGATAGTGGGCATTTTGCCACTGGCTTTGAGAGAACCAGGACCTTACTCCAAAGTGTAATCAAGATCTTATTGAAGTCAGTGGAAAAGTCTCATGAGAAAACAGTGGACTGCCACGTCACTTTGCAGAGCTGCACTGTTCTTTATAATATTAGCAACTTTTGAAATGAACATTTTGGCAAAAGTTGCTCATAACTAGCTCTGCTGCTTTTAGTACTGATGCAGTTACAGTTTCCCTTTTATTGCACTTTTCAGTATAATTTTACACCAGACATGTTGTGTGTGTGTGTGTTCATGTGTGTGAGTGCATGAGATAGATGGCAATTCTTTTTTAAGCATGGCACATGAAAACATGCTATCTAAAGTAAGACTTGAACAAAACTATTTCAGACACTAGTGCAAAAAGATACTTGTTTAGCTTAACTTCAGCATGACTTCTCATGCAATTAATCATTCATATGGAATATCTGACACAGAGATAATATGCTACACATTGCCTTTATAAATGAGGATTTATGTCAGCCAAAAGGACCTCCACAGCTGCCAAGCAGCAAGTGCAACACAAGTCACATGGACTGCACAGCCATAGAGCAGATTAACATAAATATCTTTTCAGAGAAGAAGGAAAAATCTAAGAGTCATCCATTGTAAATGAGGAATTAAGCCCTTCTAGTCCATCCTTCCCTCACTTGAATGCCTCCTACATCTTGGCGAATGGTCAACCATGAAATTAAATGAAACAATGATACTGTCTTCAGTGTAGAAAGCACTGGAAAATAAACACCACCACCACCACCACCACCACCGCACAGAAAATTAAATACCCTCACCTAGCTTTCCACCATTCCAAGAGGACAGAACCCAAATGAAGTCATATGCCACTTACTTTACTGAACTACGCATCTGCATGAACAAGACGCAAACTGGAAGTGATGGTAATGATATGTTCCAACTTGGTGACTTCTCCATACTTGACAAACGAAACCAGACAAGGGCAATAGCATGATGTCAAGAGTAAGCTCAGTAAAATGCAAAGAGAGAACAATTTATTTGTTCATTGCAATCCTGTCTGCAAAAGCAAAATGCATGTGTCCTTCTGTGAGTTCCTTTTTTTTCCCCCAATGCTAGCAATAGCTTGCTGTGCTTGTCACGAGGCTTGAAGGAGGCCCTTAGACACATTCCCGAGCAAGAGAGAGAGTATATAGCTGAATATACTCCAGTGCACAACCCAGATACCAAGAAGCTTCTAAATGTTTTGAAAGGAGAGGCAGCATACACCTGGTCAAGCCATAGTTTGAGGACTGCAAAAGCAGATAGTCTACAGCCCATCTGCAGCACACATATGGGAATCTATGCACATCTTTTCTCTCCTAACACATACCCATAACAGGACAGTCTGGCTGACAGAGGTAAATGGGACATGGGAAATGTACAGGAGAGACCATGACCATGATGTACAATCAGCACAGTGCAAGTAAAAGCACCTTTCCTTCAGTTTTTCTCTCTCACCCTACTTTGATAACATATTACTGAAATGTCCCTTTTCCAGCCCTAAAACCTATCCTTTCAGTCATAAATCCTGTCCTTTCAGCAAAACCAGGACACAGTGCCTGTCACGTTAGCATGTCGATAGTATAATTAGGATTTATAGCAGTTCTGTACAAGAATTCTCTGCTGTGAGTGAAAAAGCTAGAAGAAATATGCGAAGTTAATCGTCTTCTAATTACTCCAGAAATCTGCATGCTAATGTGATATCATAATAATTAGGATTGCAAAGTAATTAAACTGTGTAAACGCCTGCAAGAGGGAGCAAAATTTGCACACTTGGAACGTGCTTTGACTGACAGCATTTGAGTAGCCCCACCAGACGACTGTACCGCTGATGTTCTGCCAGTACTAAAAATGTCAGTGTAGACAAAGTCTTTGTGCTTTTTTAACCGCAGCAGCACAGAAAAGTAGGGTTGGCAAGGACCTCACGACATCACTTAGCCTTTCTGCTGCAAGGCAGGACTGACAGTACTTATGTCATTCGTGGCAGACCATAGTTTAATCTGTTCTTAATGGCCTCAAGTGGTGGAGGCTCCACAACCTACCCAAGCAATCAGAGAGCTCTTCCTAGTGCCTGACTTGATTCTTTCCTACTGCAGTTTAAGTCCATTATTCTTTACCCTTTGGCACACATAACAGTTTATTCCTCATATACCATTATTCATACACAATTATAAGCTATTATCGTGTCCCTCTGCCCCTGACTTTTCTTCTGCAGGTCAACCAATCCTATTCTTTCTTCAGAAGTGATGTTATCTAGATCTGTGATTGTTCCCACAGCTCTTCCCTGAACTTCCTCCAACTGTTTATTCTTGAAGTGCAGTGCCCAAACTGGACATTGTGTTCCAGCTGAAACCTTTCCAATACTGGGACATGTCTTGCGTGTTCTCTTGTTTAGCTACCCCAGTAGGACGTTAGTATTTTCAAAACAGCTTGAGATTAGTGACTAATGTTCAGACCATGATTCACAATAAGCTCCACATAGTTTTTCAAGGAACTACCAAAACTGCAAAACCATCTTATAGTTATAAAGGTGTTCTTCCTGGCTAAGTATGCTTCTCTGCACTCGGCTCAGTGACAATCCATCGTGCTTTTACTAGAACATTTCTTCAACCTGTCAGCATAATTCTGAATTCCAGCCTTGTCTCCCAGTTTTTTAGTAGCCCTTCCCATCTTCATGTCATCGTCACTCATACTCTATTCCACCACTGAGGTTATTAATGACAATAATGATGAAAACCAGAGCAATCCTTCCTACACTTCAATATATCTTTCCATTAGAATGATGGACCATTGATAACAGCTATTTGGTAAGGCAATCCAATCAGTTTTGCATAGATTCCACTGTGGTTTCACTGAAGACATGTTTCCCTTGACTGTTTATGAAACAGTTATACACATTAATGTTGAAAATGATGCTAGAAGTCAAGCTGTTGGGCCTCTGTTGTGCCTTCCCTAGCTACAAGACTTGCTAGTCAATTGGAGAAAGACATTTTCAAGTTTTTAAAAGTCATGTTGGCTGTTACTGAACTCCTTGGTCTCCTTCAGGTGCTTACACATAATTTGTTTGTTCCAGTTTTTTAAAGAACAAAATAATTTACCTGTAATTCTCTTTTGCCTCTTTATAGACATTATGCTTTTTCTTTCCCACTCTTCCAGCACTTGACTTGTCTTCCCTGAGTTCTCAGAAGTAACTACAAAGGCCTCTGAGATTGCTTTAGCCAATTCCTTAAGCAACCTAGAATAAAGTTCATCAGGCATAGCTGATTTGAAAATATTAAATATGTCTGAATACATTCTAACCTGTTCTTGCCCTTTTTTAGCTTTTGATTTTACCTGCTGTCATAATACTGTAAGTGTGTGTGAGGGTACATCTAGTATGACTCAAATGCATCAGTGAGATTAGTTCTGATCCCTGAGTTAAAATTTAATATAATTTCTTGTCCTCAGATCAAGCTATAGATTTCTTTACATCATAAAGCACCTCATACCTTCGTTCATTGTCATCAAGGTGAGCAAAGAGCACGTTCTTGGAGATGGCCTTTGCCAGAGCAGTCATAGTTTTATAGTCCTTTGGAATAACCTGTAGTGAAAAGAATGAAGGGTAATTACATGCCTGGTTGTATTTCTTCATAGATCTTGAAATCTATAGAAAATTCCACTATTCAAGATAATGGATGCAATTTGATTTCAAACACTGAGACAGGCTTAGGCTATAATATAAAGCCACTAAGAAAGTAATAAATTACAGATTTGATAATGTGAGGATAAGAATTTATGTTCTCAATATGACAACCAGAAAAGAAATACAAGATCTGGGATGAGTGGGGATAAGGATATCCATAAAACACTATAATTAGCAGGTACTGACAGCTGTGTAGTCTCTTTTCAAATCTCTCGGACTGAGGAAAACATATTTCATATTCTTCTTCCCCCCAAACAATATCAGAAGCAACCTACTTTTAAAACTAGAGAATGATCAACATTTCTTTAGGTAAAAGGTAAAAATGTGTTGATTATGCCATACTGTCAGTACTGGTTGTGGTATAAGGAACCAAGCTCCTGATAGGCCCACCTAGGTCAAAATCCTGTGCCTTTGCTTCATGGTAAACGAGAAGGGTTTGCATTTGAGAATGAAGAAGTATTTTTATTTGTTAATTGGAGAGATGGTAAAAGTCCTGTTGTACATGAATTTGCTCAAAATACATGTTGAAATTCAGGAGTATGTTTTCATACTAGATGAAGTTTTTTATAAGACTTTTGCAAGTTAGGCTTTCCATCTTGGTAAGTATTTTGTTAAGATATTAGTAAAGACATCTATCCCTGTATTTGTCAAGCATCTTCTTCTACCAGTCAGAGACTTTGTGATTGTGAGAGACATAAGAAATCTGTAACAAGGTTATGACTTGTAAAAGATGTTCTTTGACTTTACTAATGTGATTTTCCTTAAAATTTTCATTATAACAGGACAGACTCAAGCATAGCAAAAGTTTTAAGTGTTAAATAAACCTTACTCCAATCTGAAAATCAACATCTGTTTGCCTGTTTTAATTACCATACAAAAAAGGTCTGATAAGAAATAGTGTATCTGTCTTATTTAAGTTACTACATATACTGATTTGTAGGTAGTTTCCTTTCTCATCCTGGAAAAGCAAGATATTACCCATCCAACCAGAAGAAGGATCTCTCAAATGGGAAAACTGATGTAGAACTAGTTCTCAGAAAGAATTAATCTAGATTCATTTCAAAGGAAAATACTGCACTGTGAAGACCTGAAGTTAAACTCTGGCTTCAGACATCACTTATATTGACTGCTGTCATCATTAGACTACTCAAATTAAGTCTAGAGAAGCATATATGTATAAACTGCATATTTGTATTAGAGTGAAATATAATCTAATTTAAATTCTAAAAGTTTAAATTACTCAATGTTAAATAAAATTAGCATTTGGCAAGCATCTTATTCTTGGGTTTTACCCTGTCAAACAAGCCCTGGATTGAATTGCAGTCCTGAACCCTTGTTCTATTAAGAATACCCTAGGTGTTCAGCTTACTGCTGATGAGCCAAAAGGGTAGATAATCAAATCACTAAGATATTCAACTCCAACCTTTCTGGCTGACTATGGAATAGCGTAGACTAGCCTTTCTCAGTTTAAACCTGCAGCAACGAAAGTCACAAAGCAGAGACCAAAGTTGGTCTGTTGGGGCCGGGACACAGAAAACACAGGAGAGATTCTTTAGGTGCCACAGTAACCAGGCATCTGACCAAAATCACGTCAGGAAGAATCACTTGACCATTTCTTACATCACTCTTCCAAGTAATGATCGAATGTCCTTTTCAAGCCGATAACACTCTTTACAGCAAAATTCCTATTCTGTTAGTTGTTAACTATATGTTATGTCAGACGTGTTGACAAATATTGCTTTCTCTAGCTTCAGGAATGAAGCAATGAAATAAACCTCTGCAGAGATCTTCCTTTGTGCTCCTCAGAATGGAGCCATGCCATGTGCTTACTCAAGTCACAAAGCTAAATCTCCTTTGATTTTCCTCTCCAGTGACATAACTCATTGCACTGCCTTTAGCACTACTCATCCTATGGCTCATCCCTTCAAGGGATCCTTTAAATTGGCTTATGACTCAGATGTGTTTCTATCCAACACCTGAATTCAAGCCAGCAGTTCTTCCTGGCTACCATCTAAAATTCCATCTGTTTGCAATAGTCTAACACAACCCTTGCCTTGCTTTTTACACTTTTAAATTAGTTTCATAATTTGTCCTTTCAGTGTCTACCTTTAGTCAGAAATAATAAATCTCTGTCACAAACTCACATCCATGGGATTCATTTGCTGATGGCAGAAGACAAAGCACTGACACAAACTCTCCCAGTGCTAGTGCTATATTCCTTGCAGCATCTGTAGCCTGACAAAAAACCATCCCCTAAATTATTATTATTTAAGCTCAGTCAGTTCCTAGGAAATTAAAATCATAACAGTCCTAGTCACAGAACACACAGAATATGATCTGTATTGCTTCTTCCGGTTCTTGCCTACTCATGCTATTGTCAGGGCTTATTGGCATCACTGTTGAAAAAGGAAGACAACAAAGTTAACTTCAGGTTCCATTATAAACATAAAAGAATTACTTAGGGGTGTGGGAAAGAATATTTCCTTTGATTTTCAGAAGAGTCGGAGGGAGCCCATATTAAGCAGAGACAAATGTGATCTCTTCACAGAAGTTTTTAAGGGGGATATTGCAAACTGCACAGAAAGAAAAGTGTTTGAAAGTGGCTTTTAAAATATCACATAAGTTTTTTAACAGTGCAGTGCATTAATAACTTGACCACAGTGCTGTTAAAATTTACTGTATACTTGCAAACATTATTTAACTGCCACAAGAATCCTCCTCCATACTTGTTTTTAGGATGAAAGGCTCTCCTAATTCTTTGTTTCTTGGGACAGAAATCCTCAGAGCAGACAGTGAACTTGTATCATAAGTGGATGACAAAAGCACATCTGACTGCAACAGCAAAAAGTATTCTGCCAAAAAACAGTGACTGACAAAATGTATTCCCATAAAGAAAAAGCTCTTTGGGTTAAAGCTACTCCAGGCGTGCACAAAAGCACATTAGTAGCATCCGTCAACCTTATGAAACGCATTTTTAGCCTAGCTCCCTAAACAAACATGACAGACGCTATTGTAATGTCTGTCTTTTAATAACCTTTGAAAGCTTTGGCCAGTTTAAAAAAAAATTGCAGCATTATTAAGAGATATCAAGGATATAACATAGCTAGATATTTTTGTGAAAAAGGTAGTTAAAAAAAAGAGAAGCCCAAATTAGTACTCCTACTGAAGAAATTACCTAATTTGGGATTGGCATTTCTTCAAAGACAATGGTCACATAAAATTGCCCAAGTATGGTCAACAGATTTCCAAAAACTCATGGGTTAGGTGGCACCCAGTCATCATGGGTCTAGAGAACCTAAATGACCTAGGTTAGAAGAAAACTTGAGCTGGAAGTGGCTTTTTGGAAAAAAAAAGCAGGAAATGCTGCAATAGAAAAGGCTGCTTTCCAAAACTCTGAGGTTCTGACAGAACTGAGAAGCTACCAGAGTCTGTGAATATCAACAAAATGCTGAGAATTACCGACCCTGTTAGAGGGGGAAACAGACTAGCAGCACATCTCAAAAAGGAAAGAACAGAGAATGCTGAAGCCACATTGATGAGGAACTTAGTCAAGGAGCCAGTAAAAGAACTTGAGTGTGAAGAAGACAGTCAAACCATGCATATGCTGGCGTGAGGACACCATCTTACAGGCTGACATGAGTCCAAATTACGAGCAAAATATGAGTCACTCGATTGCCCTGTACATCTCAGAATCACACAGATGGTAACACATTACCTTTCTGACGTAAGAAACAGCATCTTCCTCAGTGTACACTTCAGCACTGACTCCCCCTCTCCTGCGTCGGGCTTTTACCACTGGGTTGGGAGGAGGAGGGGAAATCTCATCATCATGAGAATCAGACTGGGAACTGGATTTCTGCTGAGCCAGTATTTGTTTGCATTCTTCCTGCAAGGGAAAAAGAGACAATGAAACATCCCTTACCCGTGTAGCTAACTTGCTAGATATACTCAATTCACTCTTCTTTTACAACTACCAGCAGCCCCATCACTTCTACATTTGGACAACTGTCAATTTATACATGTGTACTGCTGAAAGAAAATTAAAAATTTAATGTGAGCAGCATGAAGGACTGATGCTAACTACAATGTGTGTACAGTTATCATCATTCCAGTACTTGACCTGTTCAACTCTTTCTTACATGTAATGGAAACCAACGTATTATAAACTGCAGACATATCTTTGCAGCTACTCTTGGCTGAGAAAGCAAAAGAACAAGCCTCTTTTGCTTACTCTCCAACATCACAGCTGTTATTTTCTCAGTTGGCTTGTACATATCTTTGTCTCTTGTACAGAGAGCATATCAGAAGTCACACATCAATATATTAGATACGTTTCTGCATCTTGCTCTGCTTTGCAGGCTTATTGTCACCAGAAAGTACAAAGATGCTCCCTACTCCACAGTTTCTGCCATATAACAGATTTACAATCAATGGGACTACTTCCAAGCAAATAAGATCCAAGGTAGGCTCCAGAGGACTATGAAAAAGGATAGCTGGCCTAGCACCAGCTGGCCAATAGGGACATTATTCTCCAAATTTCACACTTATGGAACAGAAAATAAAATATGAAGGGGAATCCCTGAAGACATAGTAACAAAAGTGGGAAACAGTATAGAAAACCTTCAAGAAAGGATATCAGAGTTGCAAGACTTTGTCAATTCATACACTGAATTATTTGACTTCTAAAGAATTGAGACAAATAAGATTACTCGTAATTATATTTTCCCAGAGTCCTGTCTCCTATTCTTAAGCTTTCTGGGATTCAAGGGGAAGCACACACAAGTAAAATTCCCTTTGCATCATCCACATCTATCAGCCGAAGGAACGGGAGCCTGTCTGCTCGTTCCTAGCCCACCTCCTCACGCCCTGGTACCACCTCAGCTTGGCATCCTGCTCACAACACACCACACTGCCTTTGCTATTTCTTCAGTGCCTTCTTAGCTGGTTCCTTCTGGTCTTCGCTGACCTACCTGAGGCAAGGGAGAACTGGAGATGGGATGGACCACATGTCCTGTCCTCGGCTTGTCTGATACAGGAAACTAAACGGCACGTGCAGGAGAGACATGAGCACCGTAAGGAGGCAAGCCGTCTTGTGCAGCAGTAGTCCAGTAATTTTATTTGCTGCCATCTATTATATCATGATAGTCTCAGGGTTACGTTGATCGACGTACAAGTAGCCAGCTATCACCCAGCGACTCCCTGAACAACTCCAGTATTTTGGAGACAATTCAGATTAGCAGCATTGCAGGCTACCCAAAAGAAAATGCAGTAATGCCAAGGTCCCTGCACACCCCATAAAACCAACATTCCTTTGACAGGGATGCCAGAACCTGGCCTCTGTCTTACACAGTTAATTTCCAATGAAACTTTCCAATCAGAGCTAATACACAGAGTCAGTGGAGGAGGGAGATCTGGGAGCACCAGCACTAGACATGTGGCAGATTACCAACATAGCCATTTGGTCTCATTGACAGAGGAAATGACTTATAGTTAACTCATCAGTTATGACACCAGAAAAGAGCGGTACAGAAAACTGGCACAAGTTCACAATTTTTAAGCTTGCAAGAAAAAGAGATGATTAATACATGTTTTGCCATCGATGTTTACAAATGTCTGACAAATGCAGTCATGTCACTTGTCTTTTCTGGTCTTATTCTAGTTTCTTTCCCCACCACCACTGACATTGCCCCTCTCATTATCCTAAGGAGCCTTTGACACCAATCTTTGATGTATTATTGCTACTTGAAATACATACTAAATAGTATTTCCCATGCTGCATAATTCAAAGTAACAAGTCACACATCCTTGTTTTGATTAAGGGACTACCAAAATATTTAAAAGACAAGCACAGAGATAAAATATAGAAGGCTGGCTAAAGATCTGACTTTTCAAGGTCCTGACCTGCCTCAGAAAGTGTCAAGTTCTTTCTGAGATCAGTATTTTTTCTAACTGGGATTACAACATGATAACTCCTGGGCCGTAACACAGTTGAGCTAGGTGCTGTAACCCAAAACCAGAAAAAAAAAACTGATTTCAGATGTATTAAATCCTTACTGAAACTTTTTCATTTCCAATTCAAATTTCAAATAGCAGCACTGGATATGTAAAAAATGAGTCAGCTAGATTTTCTTATCATGTAAGAATTGCAAGTCCTATTTAAGCATTCTCATCAACTCCTTCCCTACTCCTCTCTGACGGTCTCTAGCTTCCTTAACTACAATTATGCACTTGTAGAAACACAAATATTTAAAATACAAATGTGTATGCTACATATTATCATTATATTTAATAACATCATCAAAACCAAACCTATAACTGAAGAATTTCAAATAATATTACTGGCTATTGCAGCTTATGTATTTCTCTGATAGTGTTCATATCCTTGGTTTATATTAAATGAACACAACCAAATGCACCTTCTTCATAAGCTTAACAGAAAGGTAATGAAGACCTTTCCCGAGAGTAAGCACCTGAAAGTATACTAAAAGGTCACTACAAAAAGAAGGCAGTCAGGTAACCATTTAATGGTATGTAGCACTTACACAGTTCTTTTTATACATAGCACGTTTACTCATAGAGAAGAGTAGTAGTTTGCCCCATTTGAATATCAATTACACACTTCTTTTTCAGTATACATTGTATAAAAGGCACTTCCAATGAATTAATAAATAATATCTCCTCTGCCCCAGCACAGATTTATACACGAAAGAAACCTCAGTGAGATAAAATTAATATCCCAAAGCATGCTCTTAAACCCAAATACCTTTTAAAACCAAAAAAGATATTAAAGGATTATAAAAGTGAGTTACCATATGATTCATTTTAAAAGCAAGTCTCTTCGCTACAAACTCCTTTTATATAAACAGCAGATAGTTGACTGGCTGGCTTTCCCATATGCCGCTATTTGTAGTCTAGCTAGGATTTCCATTACTGAACTAAAGAGTGCCTTTTGAAAATAAAAGCGTACACTCTGTCTTGGGTTAAGCTTTCAAAAAGCCGTCTTCCATATATCCTGGGGTAAAACTGCACAAATACAGCAAATATTTTAAAGGAGGAATGGACTCTCTGAAGAATAGTTCTTCAAACACTGATCTTCAGACACAGCTTGATGTGAACGCTTGTGCAGAACTCACGTTCAAGTAAACACCTCACCATCTTTTGTTGTCATGACAACAAGCAATCTCACTCTCTATTCGGATGGCACAGATAATTCACAATCATATTGCCCAATTCTGTGCACCTTAAAATGAGAAAACACATGGAAGACACAACTGCAAAACACTGTAATTGCCTTTGAGCAAACCCCAGTGAGCATCTTGTTCTTCCCTTCACATCAGTATCTGCACGGGCTTCAGTGGAGATGCTCCTGACTTGTAGGACACACAGGGTCTGATCCAGTTATCCACAGTCCAGTGCCATTTTGAGTGACCTTACTTGGCTTTCAGCTGCCAGCCGAGGAGGACACGAGTCTCATGCTGTCCTGTGTCATATCTACCAGCCCCAGCAGAGATCGCACATAACTTAGGGAGTCTTAAATGGCAGTAGGGGGCCACGTGTGCACCGCTGACTGAAGCCTCCAGCGTCACTGCCACAGTCAATACAATGATATATTAACACACCCCAAATCTACAAACCAACACTGCTGTGTGACAATAACACTCTATTTCATATAAGTATAACCTAATAGTACTTCTATTCAAACCACGTTGCAAGTGACCAAAAACCTAGCTGAGGTTGTGAACAAAAATCTTTCCTGGGATTGCTGGGGGAGATGCACGGTGAAACTGGAATAACATTACTGACTACAATGACAATAAACTGGAAAGGAAAGAAAATATACCATTGTTGCCTCAAATTAAAAGAAAGAACCACCAATAAATGCAACTGCAGTGACCCATTTATCTTTTGAATGTTCACCTTCGGCTAAAACATTTGTGCTACAAGAGGCTGAGGTATAAAACATAGGAATTTAGCATGCTGTCCTCAGCGTGTGGGGTCATTGGCTTTCCTGATTAATGTTTCCATGAGTTTTTAATAAGTTTAAACACTGCAAGTGAAGCAGCCACAATGCCAAGACAGTTTTTAGGTTCAGCCTTCCTTTCAGACCACTGCTGAAGAGCACACATGCTTCCGGACACAGAAACTTTCTTCTCTATCAGCTGGAGCATTTCCAAACAGAAATTCGCTTCCAGTACTTCCTCTCCCAGTCTCTCCTTTCAGGCTTTGTCACTGCCTGGAAACTCAGACGTTTCAGTTGAAGGAAGGACAGCACCTAAGGAGGCTCCAAATCACCCTGCAGCTTTACCACAACATCTCAAGAAGACTTTTAAAAGCAAGTCAGCTGTTCAGTATCACTGCTTACTATCTCTGCTCTGCCTCCTACAATTTATTCATTGCATTCAAAAGCAACAACACAAAGTACACCCTAAATGAAATCTTTTTTTTATTATTTTTTTCCTCAAGCACACTCAAAGTTTTCTGACGGACCTGGAATCTGCTTTCTATTTATCCAGAGAAAATGTGCAGGATAGTTCATGCTCATGTAACTAATCTCTCTTTGCACTGTAATTGACCCAGAGGAGATGGTCTCAATACAGGAAGGTTTCTAACACTGCTCCATCACTCCTGGAGGCTGACATGATGATTTATAGCAACTAATAAAGCCCAAAGGCAAAGCACTCCATTTTGTTGGAAGCATAGGACTGACTGATGCCATCACTGAAAGTGGGAGAAATTTGGGAGGTCTAAATGTCCTTCCCAGTCTTGTCTTAGCCATGACGGACAACTCTACTATCTTTATGATCATTCAGCCTTGTAATCAGAGACTTTTCACACAATCCCAACTATTGTTCCACTGCCTTCCTGATGTGAAATGTCATCTTTTCT